TTTAACTCATATCACACTCTATGTTGTGCTGAATATTTTGTCCTGCTTGATCTTTTATCCGTTAACGGAAATTACAGGTTTACGAAGAAAACATTTCGACGGCCGGTACGATCACTCTCGTGGTGCAATATGTACTAAACTTTGTAAAAATTCAAAATATAGATAATAAAGAAATATAAAAATCTCAGAAATAAATATAACAAGCTACGGGTATATAATTCGAAGTCGTTAGTTTTGCTTTATTACGGTGGGACAAATTAACGTCATAAAATAGGCGCTTTAACGGAGAACCAGTGTGTTACGTCATCGATGAAAGGATGGTTTAAATTGATGTATGTCAGTTGTACACTGATGCATCGTGTGCTTATGGATATGGGACAGTCTTGGTTTTATGTGGAATGGAATGACCAATGGTTAAGTCAAAACATATCTGTGAAGGAGTTGTTTCCTATTGTCCTGGCAATTGAAGTTTGGGGAAAACAGATGGCAAATGGATCTATTTGTTTTAATTGTGACAATGAGGCTTTAGTACATGTATTGAATAAGCAATCCAGCACTGAGAAAAATGTAATGTTTTTGATTCGAAGACTGGTTTTGTTATCTTTACAATATAATGTTTTGTTTTCTGCCATTCATTTACACGGCAAGTCAAATATCTTAAGTCACGCACTTTCCCGTTTACAGATTTCCAAGTTCCAGATACTAATGCCAGATGCAGACACAGAGCCTTCACTCATACCTCACCTACCAATCTTACCAGTTTAATTAAAACAGTTGATGGTCTATTAAAATCATCATTGGAAAATTCAACAAGAAAACAGTATAACAAGATATGGATAGATTTTAGACAGTTTTGTATGTCTCATTTAAGTATAACGGACTCTGTAATACCAATATCCATTCACACATTGTCACTATATTTGGCTTCATTATATGAAAAGGGTTATGCTCCCTCTACAATGTCAAAATATAATTCAGCTGTAAGTTATTGGCACAAAATTAATAATGTATCAGATCCAACTGCATCCTTTTTAATTTATAAGTTAATCCAAGGCGCTAAGAAAAAGCGTTGCACTTTTTACGGCAGATTACCTATAGCAATCTCCATATTAGAGAGACTAGTCACAGGATTGAACATTATATGCACAAATCCATTTTACCAAACATCATTTAAAGCAATGTACACTGTTGCATTTCTTGCATTTTTACGGGTCGGTGAAATGACTGAGAGATCTGTGAATACAAACAATCACTGTTTAAAGATGGATAACATTAAAATACAAATAATAGACGACGGAAAACATCTACTAGTATTTGCCCAGTAAAACACTTGCTGGCATATTTGAACCACAGAAGTTCTCCACCTGGCATTGCCAATTTATTTTGTCATTCAAATAGGTTACCAATATCTAGATCACAGTTCATTGACATGCTAAATAGATCGCTGAATTTTATTGGATTGTCTTCTAAATATTATAAAAGTCATTCCTTCAGAATTGGTGCAGCTAGTTGGGCGATACAAAATGGCAAATCAGATAGCTAAATTCGTAGCTTGGGTAGATGGAAGTCAAATGCCTTTCTAAAGTACTTAAGACAAGATATATCTTCAAATTAGACAAGATTGTATACAGTAACCTGTCGTTTGATTATACATTTACAAGTATTTATACTATGAATTTGTTAGGTGACGAGCAGTAGCAGTCACAGTCATTGATGTGCTAGTACAGAATTTTTGTAATGTAATGTTGTCAACGTATATGTGTTCCGCCTAACTGATGTTCCACCAGAAACTTTGTTATAAACAATGTCACAATATCTGTTCCTGTAGGAACAAATATCTATATCATTTATTCCATTAGGAACATATACTGTAATATTTATTCCAGTGAAAATAATATTCCAGAATACTTTTTCCTTTTTGAACTTATATTATGAAGGAACTTCTATTCCTTGACAAAAATATATCTTTTCATGCAGCTGCGGGTGGGGGGAATCGCGACATGCACAATTCTGTGGCAAATTTTTGGTCCCCACCTTCGCTTATCATTATAGTTGTTGTAAAAAAAACATGAAATTAAAGTAGGAATAAAATAGCGCCACAAACGGTGGCACAAATTTTGCCAATAAGATGTTTGGTTTTTTATTCAAAAGAGAAGCGAACATAGCTTGCTGCATAGTTAGGTTAAGTGTTTATAGTTGTTTCTATAGATTGTCAATAGAGGAGCATAACTATGATTAATTTAACAATGATGTTTATTTAGATATAAGAAGATGTGGTATGAGTGCCAATGAGACAACTCTCCATCCAAGTCAAAATTTATAAAAGTAAACCATTATAGGTCAAAGTACGGTCTTCAACTCAGATCCTTGGCTCACACCGAACAGCAAGCTATAAAGGGTCCCAAAGAATTACTAGTTTAAAACCATTCAAACGGGAAAACCAATGGTCTAATCTATATAAAAACGAGAAACGAAAAACACTTATGAACCACATCAACAAAACTACTGAACATCAGATTCCTGACTTAGGACAGGTGCAAATAATTGCAGCGGGTTTAAACGTTTTAATGGTACCAAACCTTCACCCTTATCTGAAACAATAGTGTTACATCACAACATAGAAAGACACACTATAAAATATCTAATGAAATGGCTTAACTCAATCAAAAGACATATTAACACCAGTTAACATACACTGAACAAATAAATTTGATCTACTAGTATGATACAATGTAAACACAAAATAAATAAACTAAGGGAAGAATAATCAAAATAACATGTTATACCGCTGTGAAATGTTAAACAGTTTAAGAAAAACAATATGTTTGAACAAAAATATCAGCCGTTTGCAATTACTTAAAACACAGGTAAATGAAAATAGTTTTGTTGTTAGGTATACCTGTACAGTTCAAATAGAGAAAGGAAATATTTTTACAAAATAAATAATTTGATGTTCATAGTACGAAGAAGTGAAAATTTATAGTAATACCAAACATTTATCAAAGCTGGTATATAGACCAGATATAATCTGAATAAGTAAACATTAAATAACAAAAAAGCATTACAATTAGTATCAACAGATCAAATAAACAAGAAATATACCCTTTAAATTATAGCTTACTGTTCGGTGTGAGCCTAGACTCCGTGTTGAAGACCGTACTTTGAACCTATAATGGTTTAGTTTTATAAATTTTGACTTGGATGGAGAGTTGTCTCATTGGCACTCATGCCACATCTTCTTATATCTAAGAAAGTACGATTTGAGAGTACTCGCAGTAACTGACAGCTAGTTAAAAGCCAAAAACAATTAATAATAAAAAATCATGCATCAGAGACTAAAATCAACTAAATCACATCCCAGGGATTTAGTATTTTAACGTCATGGACAGTTAAAGAAGACATGACTTGTGCAATGCCAAAAATAAATGTATCGACAGGCAGTAGGATACTTAGGAGTTAACCTCTTTATAAATCAAAATGAACGTGGGTATTTGTACGTATTCCAGATGAGTACTCGTGGTAATTCCCCAAACAAATAACTTTTTCGGTTGCACAAGACAGATAAACAGTCGTTGCCTGATCAGATGACAAATAGAATAAGGGATAGGTACATGTATGTCTCATTTCAACCCAAAATTTTGAAGAAAAACCTGATGGCGACTATGGCAACTCGCCATCAGTTGCTTGCGCCATTTCAATAAGGGACGAAAGAGGCGAAGAACCATTAACCGTCATTATTATCAGTTTTTGCTAAAAAAAAAATAGTGTTATAATTAAAGGGGCATTAGCTACGAGTTAAGAAAAAATAAGATATGATTTTTTTTTGTTCAATCATTAATGAGAGCGAAATAGTGAAATAATAATTCACTTTTAGAAGCCAGTTTGGTTCAATTTTGTCAAAATAAGCTAAGAAACATCGCTGATGAATTATTCACTTACGAGTGAATAATTCGACCTCATTGAATCCGTATACATGTGACCTTCAATTTAACATCTTAGGTAGAGATGGATTACGCATGAATTAGGCGTGTTCAGTTATTAAAAGGAAAAGAATGTCAACATTTAAGTGAAACAAGGGTAAACCATTTGACTGTCTGATTCGATCCACAAAAAAGTCATTTTTATACAGGTTAAAATGATGATTAACATATATTTTAAATCTATAATATGAAATCAAACAGACCTAGAAAAATCAAATTGCACGAGTTCGCTTTCTATGTATGTCTATATTAATGTTTATATCGGGTTATATTACCGTCGGCAGTCTTCGGAGGGTCACCTCGATGGTTAATTAGATGGCGTCTAGACTAAAATATACATGAAATGGTGATACATATTATCGAGCCCATGCATTGTAAATTGTGTATTTCAGACATTTCATAATTTGGATATACGTTTTAGTATGTTTTAAATCAAATATGAGAATTTGAGTCAAATCGGTGAACATGAATTTGACAGCTAATGCCCCTTTAAAAACCTAAAAGTAACTGAGCAAATTGTTCGTGTTTTGGTTCGAGCAATTATGGAAGTAAAGCAATAAAAATACTTCCATGGTACAATCAAATAATTCACAAAGGATAATCTTACATCATATGAAAAAGTGAACATTAGTCATGCAATAATAAATCTCCTGGGTGAGCCTGATGCATAGAACAATGTCCTTCCTGTTATGATAAATGTTATCATTAAATAGATTATATAGGGTAAGCGTGAGCGAAGAATTCTCTCAAGTGAAAACTGGATGTACAAAATGCAGTACATTATGTTCCCATAACAATATATTTAACTTTCTTTATTGCATAAAGCTTTCCCTAATGGTTTCTTGACCTTTGCACTCTAATCGTCTGAACGTGTGAGCTTCTGATACTTTTACGTAATAGTTGTCTCATCTTAATCAAATCAATGTTTTATATTGATCTCACCTATTACTTTCAAACGTTTTGTCGATTATGATTGACAGAAAATGCATATTAAAGTGCTGATTCCATTTTATAGCGAGCGTAATGGTGTTGATTGACAGGCTAGACCCAGATTTTGAACTTTATCGCTATTGTTTTGAGCAATCGATTGCTTGAGGTGTTGCGTGGTAAAACTGCAAAGTGCTAAGTATTATCAATAGTTCATATTTCAGCGATATAAGAACAATATATTGGGTTATTGGACATCAATTTGTTTGACGACAATTAATGAGAGAAACGGTTATATTTATATATCAAACTTGAAAGTCTGTGGATTCAGTCAATATTTCATGACTTTTTTTGACATTTCAATCACGTTGGAAATTTTTAAAAGATTACATTTTAAATTGGATCTGTCTTTTATGGAAAATAAGAATCCAATATTGAATTAATTTTTGTGCATACTGAGTATTTATTTTATATAAATATTATATTGAATTACAAAAGCTAAAGTTAAATCCAAGAATGCTACAAGTGGACATGAGTGCTACGTAAAAGTCTGTCAATGGAGTAAAATTCTGTGTATGGAGTAAAATGAGGTGCATAGGATTTGTAAAATGGTTTGGAGTATTATTACTTCTTGATTCACTTGTGTTCAAAGGTATGTTTTGTAAAGAAATTAAATAATTTGGGAGCAACGATTTAATTTCAAGTGGGTGGGGGCATTCTCCTTTCTCTATCTTTCTTTTTTTCCGTGGAACAAAATATATCAGTTCGAAATCTGCTTAAAATTGAAAGACATTTGCCTGCAATTTGAACCAAAATCTTAAACCGCATAGTCCCCCAATAAAGTTGCATCACTCCCTTTTTTTCGATAAAAAAAAGTTTCTTTATAAAAAATAATCCCCTTTTGAATGCGATATTGATTGTATTCATAGAAACACCTGTCTACTGTTGCGGTCTGTTTGTTATTTTTTTTTGTGCCGTTGGTTTGCTGTCTCATAGACGTTAACCCTACATATCCCCGGCTGTCTCATAGACGTTAACCCTACATCTCTCCGGTAGTCTCATAGACATTAACCCTACATCTCCCCCGCTGTCTTATAGACGTTAATCCTACACTTACTCATAGACGTTAACCCTACATCTCCCCGCGGCTGTCTCATAGATGTTGAACCTACATCTCCCCGGCTGTCTCATAGACGTTAATCCCTACATTTCCTCGGCTGTCTCATAGACATTAACCCTACATCTCCTCGACTGTCTCATAGACGTTAACCCTATACATCTCCCCGGCTGTCTCATAGACGTTAACCCTACATCTCCCCGGCTGTCTCATAGACGTTAACACTACATCTCCCCGGCTTTATTCGCATCCAAAATGACAATTGACATTTACTGTGGTTGTAAACTGCTGTTCAAGCATAATACTACTTAATCCATAAAGTATAAATATATATAAGAATATCTTTTATCACTTTATTAATAAAATAAAAGGTTGATTTTAAGATTATAAATAAACTATTTGAAAAGGTTAAAAACAAACGTATATTCAGTTCAGTGCAAAATGCGGAATTGTAATATCAAAATTATATATATATTACATGTATCAGGGAACGACACGTGTTTATGACACGTATATTTGGGAAGTGTGTACGACATGTATTTCTGGTTCAGTGTGTACGACACGTATTTCTGGTTCAGTGTGTACGACACGTATTTATGGTTGTAAACTATTGCATTGTACAGTTTTAGGTACTTTAAACGTAACAAGACTGGATCATTAAAATTGATTGATTTGCTTTCATCAATCCATCCATTGTTGTAACATTGACATCAGTTGCTACACGAATTGTTAAACATTTTCCAAGTTTTATGGTTTTTTAAGAGGTTAGTCCTGGAAATAATGTTTAAATGTCATATCAGATTTAGTTCTATATAATACATGATCGGTTGCATAATATCATAAAATTGAGAGTGGAAATGGGGAATATGTCAAAGAGACAACAACCCGACCAAAGAGCAAACAAAATCCGAAGGCCACCAATGGGTCTTCAATGCAGCGAGAAAATCCCGCACCCGGCGGTTGTCCTCAGCTGGCCCTTAAATAAAATTGTGTGCTAGTTCAGTGAAATTAGACGTCACACTAAACTCCAAAACAGATAAATGAACTAAAATTAAAAAAAAAACAAGACTAACAAAGGCCAGAGGCTCCTGACTTGGGACAGGCGCAAAAATGCGGCGGGGTTAAACATGTTTTGTGACGGATCTCAACCCTCCCCCTATACCTCTAGTCAATGTAGAAAAATGAAACACATAGCAATACGCACAGTAAAACTCAGTTTAAAAGAAGTCCGAGTCCGATGTCAGAATAGGTAACAAAAGAAACTAAGCAAAATGACAATGATACATAAACGAACAAAGGACTACTAGCAGTTACTCACATGCCGGCTCCAAACCTCAATTAAACTGATTGAGAGATTATGTCTTCATCATATGAAAATCAAGTACAATCCCTCCCGTTAGGGGTTTAGTATCATATCATCATAAAATATATGAGAAGAACATAACCCGTATCATGCCAACAACTGGTTTTAGAATAAATGTGTTTATTTCCGATGCAAAGACCTTATGAGTGAATCAATATTAATACCAAAATATGCAGTCCTTAATGACTTGACAACAGTATCGTAACTATGTCCTTTCCGAATAAGTCTGTTTAAAGGTTTGGTTAGCTTTTGAAGTGAATGCCGACATTTTTGTGCTTTGTAAAGAATGACTTTTTAAACAATACAGAAACCAGTGTTCGATCAATTTTAAAGATATGAATCAGAAACAGACACCACTGTCAATTTAATTAAAAAGATATGAATCCGAAACAGTCACCAGTTTGTCCATCTATTGAATTATGTACAAAAATTAGACACCAATGTATACGCAATCTAACAAAATATATTTGATTAATTTTATAGCTTACTATACAGTACAGGTTTGTATCATTGTTGAAGGTTGTACGGTCAATTGTAATAGTTGTTAAACCCACGTCCTTTGGAATCTGGTGGTCAATCATACAATATCTCCTTATTTTGTACGAAAACATACAACGGTATTGTTGAAAAAAAGTATGCTTATAAAACAGACGAATCTGTGTTCAAATTTAATTAATTCACACTCGGTCAAGTTTCAGGATAAGAAAATTTACATGACCGATGGTTTATGAATTTGGTGATGTCTTAGGGTTAGATAAGAGTCGATTATCAATCCGCTATTGTATGATGCCTTATCACTTATGAACTCATCAACGTATTTTATAGGAGTAGCATGACGGGTTTCACACGTGGAGCAGGATCTTGCAACCCTTCCGGAACACCTCGGTTTTTAGTGGGTTCGTGTTGATCTGTCTTTCGTTTAGTTTCTACATTGTGTTTTGTATACTGTTTTTTGTCCTTTGGTTGTTTGGTTGTTTTTCGTGTTTTGCCATGGTGCTGTTAGTTCGTTTTTTTGACTTATGAGTTTGATTGTCCCTTGGTATCTTTCGCCTATCTTTAAAACAATCTACATTTATACACACAAAACAGAAAAGAAAACTAATCTATAAATCCATCTGTTCAACTATACTTTTTTTTAATTTGGAACGATGAACGTATTACAATTTATGTCTTACGAAACGGGTTTCAAAACAATCTATGTATCCCAATTGTTCACGCTTTTTAAAGCTGCTAGTCAATTTCCTATCACGTTTATTGGCTTATTATTAAATAATATACAATACGTTTTACAATGTAAAGTCAATCTAATTAAATCTGGAAAATAGACTGGTGTCTATAATTGTTTTTGCTACAACACCAATCACATAAACAACCTTGATGTAGATTATAACGTTACGGGTGTTAAATATAAAAGTGAAATCCTAAAGTAACTACATAAATGTCAAATCAAATATCGTTTGTTAAAATGTAAAATACGTTCAAGCCATCACTCAAGATAACTGGTTGCCACTGTCGATTTGTCCGGATGAATACAAAGCAGGCAGTTACGTTTAGATATTTAATTAAAGAAAATAAAGGAATAAATTTACCCGTGTTATATAAATTACATGTAGTTGGTGACTTTTACTACATTACTGTCTCTTTAATGATTATTTACTACAGAGTAAGTGTGTTCAAGCCATCCTCTAAGTTAGCAGGATCTACTTACCCTTCCGGAGCACCTGAGATCACCCGATGTTTTTGGTGGGGTTCGTATTGCTCAGTCTAGTTTTCTATGTTGTGTTTTGTTTACTGGTGTTTGCCTTTTGGGGTTTTTTTTGCCATGGCGTTGTCAGTTTATTTCCGAATTATGAGTTTGAATGTCTCTTTGGTATCATTCGCCTCTCTTTTAGCCTGTTACTTTCGTCAATAAATGTTGATTTGAACATATGAATTTACGTTTTCCTACCTTATATAGATATAGGAAGATGTGGTATTAGTGCCAATGAGACAACTCTCCATCCAAGTAACAATTTATAAAAGTAAACCATTATAGGTCAAGGTACGGCCTTCAACACGGAGCATTGGCTCACACCGAACAGCAAGCTATAAATGGCCCCAAAATTTTTTAGTGTAAAACCATTCAAACGGGAAAACCAACGGTCTAATCTATATAAAAACGAGAAACGAGAAACACGTATGAACTACATAAACAGACGATAACTACTGTACATCAGATTCCTGACTTAGGACAGGTGCAAACATTTGCAGCGGGATTAAACGTTTCAATGGTACCAAACCTTCTCCCTTTTTCTGAAACAATAGTATAACATCACAACAAACTGTTTAAGGACCCTTTTTGTTATACTCTTGTGTTTATATTTTACTTTGCACTTCATCAGGAAAGTGTATATGAAATTATGTTTTACTATTCTGTATGTATGTACTATCAACTACAAACACTTTTTTGTTTGCGTCTTTGTCAGATTTATTGTATGTTCATGGTGTTTGTTTTAACTTTTAAGTCAGCAGTGTTGTATGTCTTTGACTCTATGTTTACACAGTTTTGGCTGCTGGATCCCAGTTATTGCCACGTTAACCAATTATTACCCATATTGTATTGTACAATATCTCACCATCTTTTTTTACAGTGACTGCATCGTGTCGATGGTCAAATGAGGGATGTTACGAAAACGAGGATTGTTGTTCTCAATCTTGTGAACGAGCACACGAAGGTGCACACAAGAGGTGTTCCAAAAGTGAAATCAACCAACCATGCTACGCAGATTATATGTGTGAAGATGGATTACAGTGTGGCCGGAAGTATAAATGTTGTACGCCATATTGGGGAATATGTAACTCGAATGACGAATGTTGCGATTCGGAACACTTCTGTAATTTCCATAAGGGATTTACATATAAGCGGTGCCTTTTTCCTAGTTTAGCACTTAAGTCCAGAATTGACACTAAGTTATTTTCAGTTGTTATGTTATTTTGGGTACTACAATGTATTAATCACAGAACATGACTGAATATATCCTGAAAGTAAAGACATCTTTTTTACTATACAAAAAAAAATTAACTTAAAATCACAAAAGCCTGCTGTATTAATTATAAAAATCAAACACAATTAAAGTTTTAAGATGATAATTGACAACAAATTTATTTTCGATTTGGATTTTTACCCCGAAAATTTATTGAAAAACCATAAAATTGAAGTACAGCAAAGAACCCGTCATTTTAACAACTCGTCATTTTTTTTTAAACAAGCGAGACGGTTAGAATATGAAACCGATGCCTACATTGTACGTGTAGGACATCAAATTATATGACTTTTCCGTTTAAGGTATATGGTAAGAATATTCGTTTCACATGCATTTGTCAGAAGAAAAGATAGCTCCTTTAATGTCCTTTCAAAAAAAAAAAAATCAACCGTACTCGTGTTCTTGCTAACAAAACACAATAAATAAATATACTGTACATTCCTTAATAAAACGAATGCTCTCAGTTATTATGATATATGTATCTCTCCTGATACAAAAAGGTTTTAAAATTTTGAATCGAGGAAAACGTTTTCTAGGATTTTTTGCAAGATGAATGATACCATAAGATCAAATCATTTTTACAAAAAAAATGTTACCATGAACTCAAGTCACATTTCAATTGCATTTAGATAAAACAAAATAATCGATAAATTCAATTTCTGCATTAATTTTTGTTTGTTGCTAATCTTTGTAAAAATCTAAACAGATTATTTGCATCTATTTGTAATTAAGATTTGATTTTTTCTTCATTCTTTCCTAAAAGAAAGGAAAAGGTATCTGTAAATGATTTATAAAAATAATTAGAAAATCTGTGCAAAAAAATACTCAGAATTTTCTTTTAATGCTAATTAATGACGATAAACTTTCATTCTCTAAATTACTCTTTATGTCTCATTCTGTACAAGTATGATCCTCCAATTTATTTTTATATTGGAGCACTCCCACTTAGGGTTTATCAGATGATGTTATTCTCTATGAAATCAAAATTTAGTTATGAACTGCTTTTTTGTAATTCGCAGTTTCAGAGTATAATGCATACTGGGAAATATTTTCAAAAGCGTACATCAAAACTTTATAATTGGTTAAAAACGTTCTATACAATGGAAATTAAACCAATGACTTAGCGTTATTTTCACAGTGAAATTGCACACCGTCCTTTAAATTATGAAACGGCAAATTCCAGTATTTGTGTATTCAGTTTTAAAGTCCTGCCACTGTTTAATTTCCTTTAGTTAGAATGTATTTCTTTTATTGTGACAATCAAAAAAATTGTGTTTGTATGTTTTGTGCCTATTTGCATATTGTTTTTAAATGATGCATATATAATTGTTATTAAATTATTTTATTGTACTTAACTTCATACACGAACCCTTACTATTTAGGTACACTCAATTACAGCAATTTTTACGATGGGGGCATTAAGTGTTGACCTTGACCGTCCGTCTTTCCGGCCGTCCTTCTGTCCGTCTCATTTTCGTTTCCGCATTCTAACTTAAGTTTGTCTCGTGAAATTTTATAAAACTCCTACACAATGCTAGGAACCAAACATTGCTGACAGAGTTCGAATTTGGGAAGCGATTCACTTACCGTTAAAGAGTTATTATAAGGTGCAAACATGTCATCTTATACGTAAATTGAACCCAGACCATTTAGGTTCGGAAAATTAACATAAGAAACATCATTTCAAACTATAATATAAACTACACATTGGTTTTACTCTAACCTTAACTTACACTCAAAACAAATTGTATTCCTATTAAAAGGGTAGATTTGAGTTAAGGGAGAGAATACTTTCAATCTATAATGAGTTTTTAATAATGGGTTTCATAATCATGATACAGAATTAGAATAATTTGTTTTACTTCAAAAGAGAAAGATACCAAAGGGATATTCAAACTCATAAGTCGAAAACAAACTGACAATGCCATGTAAATAAACGAAAAACGACCAAAAGACAAACAACAGTATACAGTAAACTTAAGACTGAGCAACACGAACCCCATAAAAAACCGAGGTTGATCTCATGTGTTCCAAAGCCTCGAATACGTAATGGTTTACCGTACGTACGGGTGATATTTTATAATCACATTCCATAGAATATGTCTACCTCCTTAAGTCCTAGCCAAAAATTATATCAGTTTTCAAAAGTAAAAGGAAGGCTTTCAGTCATGTTTGTCAAATGTGTCAAAACTTTTGCCGATATATTCAAAGTAAATTTAAAAATTGGTAGCACGTCAATATACCACCGGTATAAACGAACGAATGGATATGAAGTTACAGCAACACAAGACGCAGGAACACATGAAAAAAAGTATTCTCGTGTTGCTTAACATATTGCAGCCAAGCAGGTACTTTCCATATACATTTGTTTACGTAATGAGATGGAGTAGATACATTAAGCATATAGCATGCACAGCATCTCGTATGCTTTAGATTGATCATTGTTGTCGCTTAACGTCCAGTTGCAACTATTTCAAACAAAAAAATAAAGGTGTGTGGTATACTTTCCAATGAAACAGCTACATCAGAGTTAAAATGACATGGATATAAGCAATTGCAGGTCGCCGAAACATCTTTAACAATGAGAGAAAACCCCATACTATATAGTCGGCTATAAAAGGCTCCTACATGAAAAATGTGAAACAATTCAGTCGAGAAAAATAGCGGGCTAACTAGTAACAAGTATAATTAATGAAAAACAAATATAAATGCATATTCAAGACGATTATTATATAATAAAGATGATTATTTTTAAACATTCTGTGTGGTATTTTACAAAAATTTATCAATGAACCAGTGCAACGTTACCACAACAGTAAAAGAAGATAATGCCTTAAACATTTGGGGAACCTCTTAGTTGTTAACAAAATGTGGGGTAACGCAATGTGACAAACTGAGATGTCTAGATGTATTTTGGTTATTTCTGCCTTTATTCTGCTGTCTCATAACGTACATCCAATATGAGGGGTGTGACACGGGGTGCTCATTTCCCAAATCTCGTTTTTTGGTAATTTTTCTCACTTTTTCCTTCTTTTTCCCCAATCCCATTTTCATCCCCTATATCCTAATTTCCCACACCACCTGTTTTTTGTTTACCCCCTACATCAAACATCACAAAAGCGTGTCACCGCCTCCGATATCTCTTGTTATTACACGTATAAGAAACCCGACTATTCGAAAAACAAAAAGATTTACAGCTAAAATATTGGATGTAACATTTGGCTCTGCATCTACTATCAATTGTTGTTCTTATTGTTCAATTCTCTCCCTAACGTTAAACATAGAAGTGATTATGACAGCTGATTCAATATCTCCCTTGAAACAACGTTCCTTTAAGAGATATTGACTACAGTTTTTCTGCTTCGTTGAATATGCCTTCTTATTAAATGTAAATTAAGAAAAAAAACATTGTCAACACAATATAGTCACATTTAGTAAATATCGCGTAGCAACATGCTTATTGAATTTCATATTTATTGATTGGTTGAACAATACGATAATTAAGTTACTACACGGAAACGAATCCGATATAGATTTTCCATTTCCAAGCTGCTTGTTTACACAAAATGATGTCAGTAAACAATTTGTTATCAGATTTAAGAAGATTTAATTTGCCATGATCAATTAGTTCTATTTGTAATTATTGTCATTTGATATTTTAAGATTACCGGTGTGCATACAGAGTTGACAGCATTGATGTTCGTAGAATACTAAAGTGCCCGGATGATTTTTCGTAGAATACGACAATTCCCGGAGGACTGTTATGTTATGAATAAGCTGAGATTTTCTTTTATAGTAATTAACATTGTGGGTGTAATATAAATGAATTACTAGTATACAAGTTTCAGTTCACAATGAAAGTGTTTTCAAATAACCTTGGATCCGTAATTGACCCTGCCTGCATTTAGAGATCCATTTGTACTAGTTGTTTCCCTTAGGAGGAACATACATTTTCACTGACAATAAAAAAGCTGGCGGAAAGAGACAAATTAATGTGTGTAATTTTTATGTTTTTAAAATCTTCTAAAGTCATATAAGTACTTCAAACTTTCAATTTGTCGATACTTTCTTTTTCTTGATACATGCTTCTCTCCTGTATATTTGAGTAGCGTGCATGCATGAATCACCTCCTCGTGCTTCCAGATGATTTGTAGTTCTTGGGCCATCTGTAGCATAGTGATTCCAGATGATTTGTAGTTCTTGGGCCATCTGTAGCATAGTGGTTCCAGATGATTTGTAGTTCTTGGGCCATCTGTAGCATAGTGGTTCCAGATGATTTGTAGTTCTTGGGCCATCTGTAGCATAGTGGTTCCAGATGATTTGTAGTTCTTGGGCCAGTTGGTAGATATTGTCCTTTTCCTTGTAAGCACAGATGCTGTACGGACAAGTTGATAGATATTGTCCTTTTCCTTGTAAGTACAGCTGCTGTAGGGACAAGTTGGTAGATACTGTCCTTTTCCTTGTAAGTACAGCTGCAGTACGGAAAAGTTGGTAGATACCGTCCTTTTCCTTGTAAGTACAGCTGTTGTACGGACAAGTTGGTAGATACTGTCCTTTTCCTTGTATGCTGTCTGCAATACATCTTGCAACCGGAGAGCATGATTCTCCTTACCAAATCATCTTTGTCTCCTCCGGGACTCGAACACGGGACCTCTGTGTTACAAGGCAGCGCTCTAACCAACTGAGCTAAAGAAGTACTTCCCTAGCTCAACCGCTTACGGCTGGCTTAGTATGTACTACATGTACTTAGTGAAGCAATCCCGTCACAATCTATTTAATTTTTTAATTTTTATCATTTTAATCATTCTGTCTAGATTACCTGTACTTATCTGTATTTTAATCAAATTTAGATTGCCTCATATCAACACATATTATTATACTTAATGTCAAAATGCCAGATTTTGATTGTTTAATACGAGGGAGACAATTTACTTTGTTTTTTTGTTTGTATAAGTAGAAGGAAAATGTATTTTAAGAATGTAGGAATAGCAGGAAGACACTTTTAATTAAGCATAAATACATTTTTAATCAAACAGAAAGCATTGTGTACAGAAAAAAATCTGAAGAAAATAGACTTTTCTATTTCAATCGATGTTTTAATATGCACCAGAAACACAAGACACAAGAGTCATGTCAAACGAGCTAGTTTAGCATCAACGAATGTTGTAAAAAAACCCAGAAAACATAGACAGAAAACCACAAGACAGAGATATGATACCACAAACAGAGATATGATACCACAAACAGAGATATGATACAACAAAACAGAGATATGATACCACAAAACAGAGATATGATACCACAAACAGAGATATGATACCACAAAACAGAGATATGATACAACAAAACAGAGATATGATACAACAAAACAGAGATATGATACCACAAAACAGAGATATGATACCACAAACAGAGATATGATACCACAAAACAGAGATACGATACAACAAAAGAGATATGATACCACAAAACAGAGATATGATACAACAAAACAGAGATATGATACCACAAACAGAGATATGATACCACAAAACAGAGATACGATACCACAAACAGAGATATGATACCACAAACAGAGATATGATACCACAAACAGAGATATGATACCACAAACAGAGATATGATAACACAAACAGAGATATGATACCACAAACAGTGATATGATACCACAAAACAGAGATATGATACCACAAAACAGAGATATGATACCACAAACAGAGATATGATACCACAAACAGAGATATGATAACACAAACAGAGATATGATACCATAAAACAGAGATATGATACCACAAACAGAGATATGATACCACAAACAGAGATATGATACCACAAAACAGAGATATGATACCACAAGCAGAGGTATGATACCACAAACAGAGATATGATACCACAAAACAGAGATATGATACCACAAACAGAGATATGATAACACAAACAGAGATATGATACCACAAAACAGAGATATGATACCGCAAACAGAGATATGATACCACAAGCAGAGATATGATACCACAAAACAGAGATATGATACCACAAGCAGAGATATGATACCAGAAACTGAGATATGATACCACAAACAGAGATATGATACCACAAAACAGAGATATGATACCACAAGCAGAGATATGATACCACAAACAGAGATACACGTATGATACTACAAGCAGAGATATGATACCAGAAACAGAGATGTGATACCACAAACAGCAGAGATATGATACCACAAAACAGAGATATGATACCACAAAACGGAGATATGATACCACAAAACAGAGATATGATACCACAAACAGAGATATGATACCACAAAACAGAGATATGATACCACAAACAGAGATATGATAACA